AAAACTTTTGAAGAAGCTATAAGATCTATCGATGCTAGTTTTTGGAAAAACGCTGTTAATGATGAACTAGAATCGATAATGTCTAATCATACTTGGGAATTAGTTGACTTGCCTAAGGGATTCAAACCAATCTCCAACAAATGGGTCTTCTGGAAGAAACTAAGGCCAAATGGTTCGATTCAGCGGTACAAGGCAAGGTTAGTCGTCAAAGGGTTCACTCAAAGGTTTGGTTTAGACTACTTTGATACATATTCTCATGTTACAAAAATCTCAATGATTCGTGCATTATTTGCACTAGCCTCTATTCATAAGTTGCAGGTACATAAAATGGATGTTAAGACTGCTTTCTTGAATGGAGATCTAGATGAGGAGATTTACATGGAGCAACCACTAGGTTTTGAAGCACCTGGTATGGAAGACAAAGTCTGTAGACTCAAAAAGTCACTCTATGGACTTAAGCAAGCTCCTAAACAGTGGTATGAGAAATTTCATAAAACTATTCTTAGTTTTGGTTTTGTTGTGAATGGTTCGGATGCTTGTGTGTATTCAAAGATGTTTGACACTGAATGTGTTATCATAAGTCTTTATGTTGATGACATGTTGATTTTCAGTTCTAACATTGAGTCTATTAACAAAGTTAAAAATTTCTTGTCCACTAAGTTTGAGATGACAAATTTGGGAGAAGTAGATGTAATCTTAGGAGTCAAAGTTACCAAAACTGAGAAGAGATTTTCTTTATGTCAAGCACATTATATAGAGAAAGTACTAAAGAAATTTGACAGTTTTGATGTCGTCCCTGTTCAAACTCCTTATGACCCTAGCATACATCTAGTTAAGAATAAAGGAAATAACGTTTCCCAAACTGAATATGCTAAGTTAATCGGAAGCTTAATGTTCTTAATGAACTATACTCGGCTTGATATTGCTTATGCTGTGAGTAGACTGAGTAAAGATACTCATAATCTGACTGATGAGCACTAGATTGCTCTTAAACGCTTACTGAAGTATCTTAAGGGTACTTTGGATTGGAAACTTGAGTTTGTTGGCTTTCCTGCGGTACTGGAAGGATATTGTGATGCCAACTGGGTTTCTGATAATGATGAGGTAAGCTCTACGAGCGGGTATGTTTTTACTTTGGGTGGAGCAGCAATCTCATGGAAATCATCAAAGCAGACTTGTATTGCTCGTTCTACTATGGAGTCGATGTTTATAGCTCTTGACCTAGCTGGGCAAGAAGCCGAGTGGCTCAGAAGTTTATTAGCAGATATTCCGTTGTGGGGAAGACCGACTCCTCCAATTTCATTATTGTGTGATTCACAAGCTGCGATATGTGTGGCTAAGAACCAAGCTTACAATGGTAAGAAAAGACACATTTGCATAAGACATGAATCTGTTAGACACTTAATAAAGAATGGAGTGCTCTATTTAGAGTATGTGAAGTCGGAAAGGAACCTAGCAGATCCACTTACCAAAGGGTTAAGTCGGAAGCTGGTCCTAGATTCGTCGAGGGGGATGGGTCTAAAGCCCATTGGTTGAGAAATTCATGGTGGATACCCAACTTAGTTATCTAAGTTCCATGTGGTCAAACGAAACCATGGAAAGACTCATAGTGCACATTCCTACTGCCTATCCCTATGACGAATAATGTGCATGCCCAGGATGAGCTTAAACTCTTAATAAATTCATAGCCCAGGATTTGGGTGGTTTTAGTGAGAAATACTTGATGAATTTACCGATTTTGGCTGAATATCTATTCTTAATAAGTTCATAACCCAGAGTGAGTGGGTAGGAAATGATGAACTTACCTACAGAAAGGTTGAGTTTGTTAAACTCTTAATAAATTCAAATCCAAGTATTTGGATGGTTCTAGTGAGAAGGACTTACTGAATTTACCGATAAATGAGGTTGAATATTTATTCTTAATGACTTCTTAGCCCAGAGTTTGGGTGGTTCATTAATAATGAACTTGAAGAAAGTCATCATACCCTTTGTGAGGTTGAGCTATTATAAAAGCTCTTAATTATTTCATATCCCTTTTTAAAGGGTGGTTTATGTTGAGATAAACTTGATGAAATAACCTATGTAAGTGAGAAGGGTTAGCCGCCTTCTATGAAAAATGTTGGGCCATTTTTCTAGCACACTTACTAGAATCATGAGGTAAGATGGCCAAATATATACTTTGTATATATATATCTTACACATCGAGGACTCAGGTGGATGAAGGGGTTAGTTGTGTGTTATGAGTTTACTCTGATCTTAGAAAGTTCCAGACTAGTTTCACTTATCTAAGAGAAGGATTGTTCATCATCACTATGTACTAGTTCCAGATACGTTCACTAGTGCTTAAGCAACTAATCTCGCTATTGCTCTTCTGGAAAGTTTGTTTTCGAGTTTTAGAAGATTTCTTTCGCATTAGTGGGGGAATGTTGGTAATGCTCAATCCCACATAGTATTGGAAATACTATTGGGAATGATATTTAAGACTTGGCTTTCCCACTTCCTTGTTGAGTGATAGAGAACAAGGGGGACTCTCGTGCACCGCCGCCGCCGTCCGTCCGTCTCAGCTCGGCACGGCTCGGCTCGTGGTCATGGTCGTGGTAATACGTGTCTTCTACACGTCCGCGTGGATACTATCTTTTTAGAGAAAATTCTTGAGGAATTTCTCTTTGAAATAAACAAATGGAAAAATGTGAAAGATTTCAACTGATATTTATAGGCTGCTGAGGACTGTTTAATTTCAAATGATAACAGCTGGTTTATGAGAGTTATCATAAATTAAACAGCTTTTCCTAAATTAAATCTAAAACGTTAAGATGCATCTAGACTGATTTCCAGCTTTGTACAGAGGAGACAAGCTGTTAATATCAGGAGTTACAGGAGTTATTTGATTTAATTCCATGGGTTACATGATATAATTTCGGGAGTTATAACAGCTGAACAATGATGCAATGAACCTGGACTATTTTTGAGTCAGGTTCATCTAGACGTTTTAGCTGTTACAAAAGAAGAGATTTAATCCTGAAATTTTATGGACGATTTTAACCCTATTTCTAGCCTATAAATAGAGGGATATAATCAGCTTCTCAACTCACTCTCAAACATTCACAATTCACTTACAAAAGTGTTTTCTACAGTTCTCTCTGAGTGATTTCTAATCAGAAGAGCAATACCACCAGCAGTCCACTCTGGTTTCGGGTGTACAGAATTCGGAGCGACCGTGTTAACCTCGGGGGACGGTCCGCCTACTGCAGCGATTACACACATCGGGGCGAATTCGTTTCTAAGGCAGTGGTTTTTACCACGACACGGTTTACGAATTTGTTCCTTTTTATTACTGTTTATATTTCCAGTCAGTACTAACGATGTAGTTTTGCAGTTCATATATCCAACAGCCTATATTATATTGTTGATCTTCCTTGCTTGGTCCATTGGATTTGATTTGGATACCCATTATTCATTCTTGGATAACTTTTCACGTCGTTCGAGTCTGATTTACTATTTTTCGATGATCTTTCAATATTTTGATCTCATTTTGTAGTTCATTTGCCTCAAATCTGTTTGTATCTATCTTTGTTCGTGTTTAATCTTTCCTTATATGGTCCTTATGTTATCTTAAATTGCTAGTTTTGTTTCAATGATTATAGGAAATTGTCCTAATTATATACTTAATTTAGGATTGCGATTGTAAAAATTCATTGTAATTTAGGATATTTTCATTTTTGAATAAAATTAGTGATTTCTTAAAAAAATAGCCAAATAATGTCTTTTATCATTTGTAATAACTTTTAATCCTTAGGAGTTCAAATATCTCATTCAAGTGTAAACATTCTAAAAAAAATATTTTAGTGTCATACAATTTCTTAAATATCATTCTCATGCATATAAATTTATATTTAGATGCTATACGATATATCGCATGTATTTATTAATTCACTTATTATTGTAATATTATTTTCAAGCACCCTCACATATTTTAACATTTTAATGTGCAAAATACTTTTAAATACCCCCACGTTCTTTAACATATTAAGATAAAAAATCAATTTCATATAAGACACGTTGATAATTTTTCTCTCTATTTTATTTAAGCAAATTAAAGTAAACTCATAATAAGTTATAAAAACTCTTATTTACACACAATCAAATTTAGTTTATACATCTTTACATAAGTCTCAACATAGTAATTAGCAAGATTGACTTTTTTACTCAAATCACCCCTCTATTAGTTAATTTCATTTTTACTCATGAAGTTTATGAATAAGTGATTGTCCGATAATGAGCAGGAAATATTCGATAATTAATGAAATCTCAACCATTTTTATATATATGAGATAACATCCAATTATATACTATAAAAATAAAAAGTTTTACATTTTTTTATGTTTATTAGATGAATAAAAATTAAAGGTCGAGATTAACAATAAAAAATATGAAGATATTCAGTAGAAAAAAATAATGTGTTAATCATAACTTTTGATTTCTTCTCCTCCAACCATCTTAAAATGTAAAGTATAATCGTAACATTTTATATATATTTAAAAAATATTAGGATTCATTTTATTTTATTTACATTATCTAACACATACATCCAAAACCCATCCAATCAACTTATAACTCTTTTAGCATCCTACTTTATTGAAATAAATTCGTCAACGACCTTCCTGTGAAAACTGAAAACTGCCCGTACTCTTTTCTTGTGAAATCTTTGCTCATATGCTCTCCCATATCGCTTGATCTTCTCTTTCATTAGAACCAAAAATATTAGAAACAAAAATGAATATAGGTTGTTCTAACAAAATGGCTGGATTCGTTAAAAATGGAGATTATTCTCCTGTCAAACCAACAAAACTAATCAATTACACCTAAATAAGTAATGATAACTAAAAATTTACTTGTCTGCAAAACTGAAATTCCAATATATAAATTCACTGCATAATTGAAAATCAATCCATCAAATCTAAGATATTTTTTCTTCGATTCAAAATGGGTGTGGTGGGATTCTTTAATGCCATTTATTATTTCATGTTTGGTGGTATTATCGGATACCATTTGAAAGATCAAATTGGAGTATTGCCCGGACAACCAAATGTTAATTTCAGGCATTTTTCTGGGTATATCGACGTTGATCCAAATGCTGGAAGAAGTTATTTCTATTATTTTGTTGAAGCCGAAAACGATCCATTGAATCGACCCCTCACTGTTTGGTTAAATGGAGGTTAGTTCCATTTTCTCCAAAAACCAAATTAAGTAACCTTAGGACAAGGAATTGCCGATATTGAAATTCAAACTTATTTATCTCTTGTAAATGATGGTGTAAAATGATTTCGACTTATTATTTTCAGGACCGGGTTGCAGTTCGGTTGGAGATAGCTTTGTCGGTGCTGGTCCTTTCATTACTACAAATAATGCTCGTGGCCTTAAGAGAAACCCCCATGCTTGGAACAGAGGTTGATTTCCCCCCCCCCTTAAAATTCACTTTTAATATATATATTTCGAAATCAATTTGATATATTCCAACTTTTGATGTACAACTTTTAGTGTCAAATATGTTGTTTATTGATTCACCTGTTGGGTCTGGATGGTCGTATTCCAACACATGGAGTGATTATCTTGCCGGAGATTCTAGTACGAGTAAGTCACCTCCAAACCCCGTTTTTTCCCCTCTTATTCCTATATTAAAAAAAAGGGTAACAATTCCCCTACATTTGTTTTTGTACAGATGATGATTTGGTTACATTCATACGGAAATGGTTTGAAAGGTTCCCAATTTTCAAATATAGAGAATTATATCTCGGGGGAATAGGTTACGCAGGTACAAAGTGTATTTATAATATATTATTATATATTTTAAATGAAATAATGATATACACTAAAGTTTGATATTTTTATGAAATTGTTCTCTCAGGACACTTCGTACCCAACTTGGCCAAGACTTTACTTCGAGAAAACAATGAAACAAGGAAATACGAGTTTAACGTCAAAGGAATAGCAGTAAGCAAACTCTTAATAATTTTTTTTTATTTGTGTCAAGACAATATTGATTACCCTAACAATATATATTTTTGTGTGTGTGGGAATGTTTGAATATAGTTGAGTAATCCGGTTCTTCGGCTTAAGTTAGATCTTCTTGCGGAACACGAGTTATATGTGTCGAAAGGGAAGAGTCCTAATAAATTGTACCAACAAGTTTTGAAACACTGCAATGGGATCAATGAAGACAATTATTCCGACGATATTATCCCATGGTCCAAATTATGCCAGCTGCCTATGAGTAAATCTTTAATGGTTGCTTTTAATGTATCTTCACTTTCAGAAGCTAAGAAAAGACAATTTGATCTCCGTCGTACTCAGTGCGATGGAAAAATCGAAGATCTTAACTCCGGAAAAGAGGTATGTTTCAAAATATCACCTTTTTAAGATTAATTACTTGCTCGATTAAAGCTGAACTAAGATCATGTTATTTGATATTTCGTGTCACAGGTTACTAAAATTGACGATGGAGTCGATATGTGTCTTCCTTTAAGGACAGATTTCTATTTTAATATTCCAGAAGTTCAAAAAACTTTCCGCGGAAATCGAACCAACTCGAGATTTCATTGGAAGGGCTGTTTCCAGTAAGTTTGATAAATGCATCTTTAAACCTCAACTCATCAATTATCTTTTAAATGACTGTACTGAGATTTTTGGTAATGTAGGCAGAGTGGCCTCAATTACAGCATATTTGACAAGGATATGGACATGCTTCCGACATTGAAGGAAATTCTCCTACAGTCTGTTCCTGTTACCATATTCAGGTTAGATTATTCTTCTTACATGAATTATTGTAGGGTTTTCTTTAAGTTAATAATGTATTAATCTTTGGCTTATATTTTTTATTACAGTGGAGATGAAGATGGGATAATCCCGATGACTGGAACCTTAAAACATGTTAAGAAACTGGCCAAGGTTATGAAGTTGAATTTGACCAGAAATGAAACTTGGCTTCATGAGAAGGAGGTTATTGATGTTATCTTTTTATTTATTATTTATTAATAACATCTTAGTATAATTTAATGATCAAACATGGAATCTAAATTAAACTTGCAGGAAGGAGGGTGGGTATACTCGTACGAAAATAATCTATTGACTTTCATGTCAGTAAAAGGAGCTAATCATCACGTGCCGATGTCTAAACCATCTGAAGCCTTGTTTATCTTTACTAATTATGTGATCACTCCATCAATGTTAATTGAATAAAACTTGGTGAATGAGGAGCTATGCTTCGAGACTGCACTTTTGGGTGTGTGTGATCCTTTGGCACGGTGTTTCTCTTCTTCTTTAGGCAATAGGGGGGACAGTAGCATGTGAAGGAGAGGAATTGGCCTTTGATGTGAACTGCTTTGTTTTAATTCGTTTAGGTGTAATTTTGATGTGTTCAATGTTTTTTTTTAATGATAGCCCCATTTTATCTCTTTTATTACTAATAAAAAAACTTTGACAAGAGAAAAGAGAGAGGTAAAGCCCTTAAACATATTTATAATAAATTGTGCATTAATTTACAATTTCCCTTGATCGGCATGATTATGAACTGAGGAATAAAACATGATTTGATGTGTTAAATCTGTTTAAGGGTAAATTATTTGGTCCAAGATCTGTCTAAAATTATGAAATATTTATATATAAAAAACAGATATGCAAAATAGATTTTGATAATAAAAACAATAATTTTACGAAACAGATAAAACCCTTAAACATATACTCCATTGTTTAAACTATATTTAAAATATTTTAATTAAAATTCCTGATCTCAAAGAGTATAAATTTACTTCAATAAAGTAAATAAATAACTCTTTAATCCAATTCCAAAAAACAAATCATTTGGCCCGCAACTAGATAGTAGATATCCCCATTGCCCAAAACCTGGTAAAACCTTGAATCAAATTCCACACATCAATGCCAATTTTGGTCCAGTCAATGGCTGCCCCTTGAGGTGTACGTAAAACACTCACCAAATATTCATTCTTACCTTAAACGAATCAAACCGAAGCATCTCCAACACAAATGGTCTTGTTCCACTTCTGAACGGAGATTGAAGGGGAAATATATAGAGAGACCCAAAGCTTTATTCTTTAGAGGGCATATTTTAAAGCACCCGCAAAACTCTGCCTTTTTTGTTCTATTAATTTAAAGATTCCTTTTTTGTGTATATATACACACATACAAAGAAGGTTTTTTGTTTTTGCAATGGCTAAAGTGAACGGAGGCTCTGAAATGGGGAGTGTTTCACAAGCTTATTTAGATGACCAAGCAGTGAAGGAAGCGAGATCTTTGATATCTGAGCTTTGCCGCCAGTTCTATAGCCTCGGATGGGTCTCGGGAACAGGTGGCAGCATCACCTTGAAGGTCCATGATAGTTCTATCCCTAAGCCTCAGCAACTCATCCTTATGTCCCCTTCTGGTAACTTTTTCTCAATCAACCATCTTCTGTTTTCCCCCCCTTTTTTTGTGGCTTCTGAATATTTGGTTTTGGAACTCAAATCTGTGTGTTCAAACTTTTCTGTGCTCGTTAATATCTAGATCATTTTCGTTTTTGATTAATTATTGGTATATTTCTAGATTTTTTGGTTCCCAGTCTTGACTATTAGCTATTCAAGCACAAATTTGTGTTTTTTATTAATCAGGATCCTAGCTGTTGTTGTTTTAGATCACTTATTTGTTTTCCTTTACTCTCTTTGCTTTTGGATATTTACTATTCGACCATGAATGACTCTCATAACTGGGGTATGGTTAATAGGGCTCAAAATTTCCCCCTATTTATAGCCCTTTTGTCTCTCTGTATATGCTTTTCAAGTTTAAATGAATCCGAATGTTGTTTTTCTCCAGCCATATGAGTCTAATTTGCTTTCTGAAATCTTTTTTCTAATGAATTATGAATACCATTGCTCACCTCAGTACACTGTCCGGTGGATAGAACTTGTTTTTCATTACCTTCTATATGTTGTCCCTCACATTCAATTGCATGTGTGTTTATTCATTTGCATTCTTCTGTTTACTGGAAGGTTGTTGTTTGAGAGTTACTGTCTATATTCTCTTCTAAAATAGCTTTAAGTATGGTTTTTGGCTTTGTACTTTGATAGGTGTTCAGAAGGAGAGAATGGAACCAGAGGACATGTATGTATTATCAGGGGATGGGACTATAATATCTTCACCTTCTCCTAAGCCATATCCTCATAAGCTTCCTAAGTGCTCCGATTGTGCTCCTCTTTTTATGAAGGTATTATTGTGTTTTTGTAGGAAAACCATACAAAAGAAACGGCAATTGGATTGAAATCAGAACATAGCCAAGTGTCGTTTGCTTTGGTGCAAAAAATGATTAAAGATCCCATTTGCAAATCAATAACCAGCAGATTTGGTTCTAATCTAGTTTAGGTGCTCTTGATCCTATTTGTTCGACATAAATTGTGTTTTCCTTGTGTGTGTGTTTTTTTTAATGTTTCGAATTCTGTATTTATGTTTAAGTGTTCATGTTGCCTCATAATTCAGGCTTATCATATGCGTAATGCTGGGGCTGTTATCCACAGTCATGGCATAGAATCCTGTCTTGCAACAATGATTGATCCACATTCGAAAGAGTTTCGTGTAAGTTATTGTTGTCCTTAATATTATTCTAGAATGTGTTTCTCTCTATTTCATTCACTTTTATTTTCTTTCTTTACTGCTACACATCTGTGTTCTTTTAGTGATTTATTTACCTTTTTCTCTTTTGGATGTTTGAAGATCACTCATATGGAAATGATAAAAGGAATCCAAGGACATGGTTACTATGATGAACTTGTGATCCCAATAATCGAGAACACAGCCTATGAAAACGAGCTAACAGATTCTCTCACCAAAGCTGTATGTTTCTTTTGCATTAATCTTGTCAATAGTGATTATGAGACTGGTTTTATGATGATAATAAAATGTTCATGTAGCTGAATAGAATTATAGAATATTCTATATTGACATGACTATGTATGTCTATTTACTGGTACCATTTTGCTTTTGAAAACAGTCTTCATCCCGATTTCAGTTCATTTCAGTCAAATTTATCCATGCATAATATTGCTTTCACTCGGTTGAAGTCCATTTCAATTGTTTTCAGATTGAAGCCTATCCTAAAGCAACTGCTGTTCTTGTGCGCAATCATGGCATATATGTATGGGGAGACTCATGGATCAGTGCTAAAACTCAGGTGCGTTGAACTTGTGTATATATTCAAGTTCCAACTGGGGAAATCTCATAATGTGTATTTCATGCCTCTCCCTCATGGCTTTAACACTGCTTACACAAGCTAAAAGTATTTTCGTATGCATATGAATTGGAATATAAAAACGATGGTAAAAAGTAAAACCTCCACTGAAAGTCAATGCTCCTCCCTAGTAAGGTAGAGATTCTTACACGTTGCTTTGGTCATACTTTGTTCCTTACTATTTCAGGCTGAATGTTACCATTACCTCTTTGATGCTGCTATTAAACTTCATCAACTAGGCTTGGACTGGTCTACTCCAGATCATGGCCCCATTCAGAGTGTTAAAGGAGTTCCAGGTGTCGATTGTAATGTGTCTAAAAAGGCTAGGACGATCTATTCAAATTGTAATGTGAAGAAATTACCAGTAAGAATTTTACATATTTTCCCTTCAGTTGGTTAAATTCAGGATTTTTACTTGAATAGATGAATGACATTTTGGTAGACTCTGATTGTTTTTATGCTGAACAAGAACATTGTTACATGCATTGGTCAGAAATGCGCTCTCATCTATGGTTTATTCTGTGACAGCGTTGCATTGTCCTTGACATTGAAGGAACTACCACTCCTATTTCATTTGTAACGGACATTCTCTTTCCATATGCCCGAAACAACGTTGGGAGGCATTTATCCGCAACGTATACTAGTGCTGAAACCCAAGATGATATTAAGTTATTATGTTCTCAAGTAAGACATCTCTTTGGACCTTTGAATCTTTTATTTTTAATCTTATAAAAAAAACCTTTTATTTTTAATATTTTGTAGGAAAGAAAGATGTTTAACAGTTCAGCAACAATTGACTCTCAATGAATAAGAATCATTACTCCTATTATTCATAATGGAGATCAGGGCAACCAAAGAACTCGAAATTGACTCCTAAATCAGATGTCTATATTGAATGCATAACTGGCTTTCCACAGGTTGAAGATGACTTGAAGCAAGGAGTTATTGGTGCTGTACCTATCCCCTCTGACGATGCAGGAAAAGAGGAGGTGATTGCAGCTTTGGTTGCTAACGTGGAAGCAATGATAAAAGCCGATCGAAAAATCACAGCCTTGAAGCAATTGCAAGTAAGCAAATTGAATTCAAAGAAAATAAATTTCTAAAGATTACCTTTGGGACGAAGCTAATATATGAAGCAAAACAGGGTCATATTTGGCGCACTGGATTTGAAAACAATCAGCTCCAAGGCATAGTTTTCGATGATGTTCCAGAAGCTCTTGAAAAGTGGCATGCTTCGGGTGTAAAGGTATCATGTGTTTTTCCTTGATTTCATTATTCGACATTTATATTTTACAGGAAGTTCAATTTTAATGACTCTTTCCTCTTTTCACCACAGGCATACATATATTCCAGTGGTAGCAGATTGGCTCAGAGGCTTCTCTTTGGAAACACAAAATTTGGTGATTTGAGAAAGTATTTATCTGGATATTTTGACACCGCAGTCGGGTAAATTCAAAACTTCCGTAGTTGCTTCCGTTCTTATCACTCGATTTTAATTCAAGGTGACACTTTGTTTTTCCATCTCTTCTTGCAGAAAAAAAAGAGAAAAACAAAGTTACGTTGAAATAACTGAGACCTTGGGTGTCGATAAGCCATCTGAGATACTATTTCTGACTGATATCTATCAAGAAGCCATTGCTGCAAAAGCTGCAGGTTTCGTACTGCTCTTAATTTTTTTTTCTCTTTTCTCTTTTTAGTGAATGCCAGATTAAAATAAATGGTACTATTTTTCATATTCCTTCTTTCTTTTTTGTTGGTTTGCTTGTTTGTTTTTATTTCCCCTTAGATATGTTTTTCTGTTACAAGAGAATCCGAATCACACCGATTCAATAAGCAACAAATTAGGTAACAAAAATAGTGAACTTCAGTGCATTTCCATAAGTTTTCAATGGAACATGTGCCTTGAAGTTTCCGATTTCAGTGTTGCTCGAACTAGAAAATTAAGGAGATATACACTTTGTTTATTAATATTTTCATGATCATCTGTGCCGTAGGTTTGGAGGCTATAATCTCCGTCCGTCCTGGAAACGGTCCTCTTCCTGAGAACCATGGGTTCAAGACTATCAACTCGTTCTCTGAGATCTAATAGAAATTAAGTTACTTCTGTAATAATATCGACTGTAACAGCTCATACACAATCACTTCCAAATGCAATAAATCTTGGCTTTCTGCAATTTCTGTTTGTGCTTTCATTCTGAGCAATGGGAATAATTTCAATCCTGGTGACCGCTAATGTTTTCAGACATGAACTCATAAATGCTGGAAACATTCCGTTAACTATAAGGTTTAGGTTTCAGGTGAAAAAATGTTATCGAATTTCCTACATCGTGATGGATGTTCAAGGTTTGAATTCGAGACTAACATCGTAACATCTTTCAATATGCAAACCAGCATCAAACACAGCTTTGAATGGAAAATGTTTCCTATGAACATTTCGTTCAGCTTTGCAATAAAAAGGCAGTAAATGCAGGAAGCTAATGAAATGACTGATGAGGTAGTTGAAACTGCATGCATGCAGACACTGTATATATATAATGAAGTACAGTACACAAAACAGTTCTCATCACTGTTTCTATAAACGTTCTTTCCGTACAAACATAAAACAGGAAAAATCTTGAAATTTCTGTTTTTATGTATATATCTTTATTTATAAAATGTTTGATTTTGCATACTTTTTCCCATTAATTCAAAGTCCATGTTAAGGAAAAATATATAAGACTGCCGAGTATGTTCCCATTTCTTAAGAACCCTGCTAACTGATGTATCCAAGACAAGAAAAGGATTGCATTGAACATAAATATATAAGCCCAAAATTTGCACGATTGCATACTAAATAAGATTTAAATGAAACAGACTGCTCTTCCATCTTCAAAGAAGCTAAAGACATTTGGGTCATTTAATCTTCACAGTTTCTTACAAACCTTTGCCTTGTGTCTTAGACACCTAAATACAAATTTTCTAGTATCATACTTTAACTGCACTTTCAGTACTTCTAAAACAGATTAAACAAGACCAGAAACTGGTTAAGGTAGTTAAGGGGGGGAAATCCACATAAAAAGCAGCAAAGCATTGACATTACTTTTGTAATAATTTCATTTCCAATACATACACACACATACATATATATATATATATATATCATTTACTTGCCTTCTACTTAATATTTTGGAGTAGAAAAGTGAAAAGATTAAGAGTATCCAATGTTGTCACATCTTGTTTGATATTTTTCTCCTTTGTTATGGTGGGCCTTTTTTAATGATAGAAAAGCTTGTCTGCCATACCATTGTTGATTAACAACTGGAAAGTTTTTAAGCTAATGGAAATGAAGAGTTTTTACAAAGACAAAGCACACTCTTACACAGCACAAACAATTTACTAAAAGGTTTCCAATTTGATCTTGAAAAAGAAAATGCACCCAAAATATTTTTTCCCATGATTTGGACTCGGAAACAGACATCCTTGTAACACACTATGATGGTCCATTACTGAAATCAGCCAAAAAGTCTTAATTTCAGCAACTCAAACCCCGCTCACTTATTTTTTTCTGAGCAACAGAAAAATATCTTCATCTTTCTGACCTTTTTGCTATATATAAAACTCAATTATCACGGAAATTGAACATTGTTCTTAAAGAAACAGTGTTCTTGTAACAACTATAATGTCTGTAATAATCTTATAGTGAGTAAAAGTTTTACTTGGCTGAAACGAGCTGCAAAGATTACAATAAAGCATGGAACACAATGTCACAACAACAAAACAGAACAAAACTAAGAGATTAGCAGTAATTTTTATGGTTTCAAGTAGCAGGCCAAAATCCAAGAGAAATGAAGAGAGAAAATGGTGAAAAGGAAGAGCTTTACCATAATTAAAAGGAGATCAAATCATACAATTGAAGAAAGATCCTCATTACTTCATTTTTTTCCCACTCAAATTCAGCCTAACCCTCTTGACAAACCACTCTCAAACTAACATAATCAATTTGTTCTCTGAATTTTTAAGAAGAGGAGCTTGAAAGTCTTGGAGAAGTAACCGGGAACAGTGGCAACAGCTGAAGCTCAGTGTCTCTAGGAGTCGACATAGGTGATGGATGCAAGTAAAAGCCTTTCTCCGCTATAGCTTTGTCTTCCTCAGATGAATTCCCTAAAGAAGGCGAAGCCTTGTTGATAGTGTCCTCATTTAATGGTGTAACCGGGCTAAGAGCTAGCTTCGGGAAGTCAAGTAAGCTCGGAGACAAGATCTCCGCATTCCTCGGCGAATAAAAAGCACCACCTCCGCCACCGCCGCCGCCACTAGAAGGCAGGAAAGTGTTGATCATCATGAGGTTGTTCTTCAGGTTACTGTTCCTCCTCTCATAAAGCTTGAAATTTTGTTTCTTGGGGGAGTTTGTTTTCATGGGAGGGATAGGAAAAGATGATTTTGTTGATATTCTTTGATGATCTTGATGATGGTGTTGTTGTTGTTGTGTTGGAGGCTTCGAGGAAGCTTGTTTAGCAGTCTCCGATGAACCAGTGAGCATTTGGACAACCTGTTTGAAACTGGTCGTGTCAGCTTGGACAAACGTTGTTGGGTAAGGGTTGGTCTGAGATCTGGAGATGGGGATCGGAGTTAAAGGTGGGGTGTGAATTTGGACGACCCCATTGCTGCTGTTGTTGGTTCCACTGTTGCTATGTGGAGAGTTCAAAGGAGATGAAGAAGAAGAAGATGATGATGGAAAGTTCAAGCTCCCGTTGTTATCTTGAACTAACCTTGTTGAATTCTCCATTGATGGGTGATTTTCTCTCTCTCCTCAACACCCTGGAAGAGAAATTTTTCTGGGTTTGTTTGGTTGAAGAGAAAAAAAGAGGAAAAAGAAAGAAAGAAAGAGGAGTGAAAAACAAGGGTTGATTTGCTGTTGAATATCAGAAAGGCTTCTTTGCTTGTTTTTATGTTTTCGTGCTGTGACAATGGCGCATTTGCAGCAAGCAACAACTGGTTATTAGTCTCCTCTTGCTCTTTTTTCTTTCTTTCTATTAGAATATTAAATAATTTATAGATTATTTTTTCTTTTGATTTTGAAAAATATATTTAAATAAATAAATTGAAATTTTGGGATTAGTTAAAAGATAAGGATTATTGGTAGAATATGGATTCTCTTTTGGCCATCCTATGGCAAAGTGTTGGAAGATATGAAATAGTATATATATATATATATATATATATATATATATATATATATATATATATATACATGGGAGATGAATAGAAAGATTGGAATATATACGTGGAATTGAGTATTATTGACTAAATCTTGTCTTGATGGGATTGAAGATGATGGGAACTTTCACTTTTTTTATTAAATTGAAAGGGTCAAATTGTAAACAAGGTCCTTCAACTATATTTCTTTTATAGATTTTATTCATTTATTATAATGTTAATTTTCTATTTAATATATAAATTATTAGACTTTTCAAATCTCCAAATAAAAAGATATTATGTTTTTAATAGTATGAGTGATTATAAAATAATATATGATTAGAATTTTTCTTAGTCATTGACGCACATACCCTTTAGATACAGTTATTTAAACCTTAGACTTTTAGGAGAAAAAACACTCCCTCCTACCACTGAGACTGTTCAATAGTAATATTTGTTAAAAACAGTTAGACTCATATTCTCTTGAACTTTTTAATAATAATAATAGCATTTGAGTTAAGATTATATTGATATCACTTGATTTTTTTAATCTTTTACTTTTTTGAATTTTGTATTTTCAATCTGTAAGTTCTTTTTTGTTAATTTCATGAAATTGTTATATATGTTTAAATATGTAATGATATATGCACAAAACACTTTTGTATTTTTTATACAAGTTGATAAATATTACATTTTTCTCTTTTTAATCCTTTTAAATTTTGCAAAATAGAATTATGAAAATGACCTAAAAAACATGTATTGAAAAGTAAAATTAAAATTGATCAAATAATAGAAAAGGAATTAAATTAATAGAAAATGCAGGTACTTTCTGTAAAATTTGACCCATTGGAATTGCTGACATGTATTAGTCGACTTGTTTTACAGTTCTAATGCAAATTGAAGCTGCATTCTGGTGGGTCTGGGCTCTCTCATTAGATTGATAACGTCAAATGTGCCGTTTGAATTTTCTTTTTTAAATTTATATTTAAATTCAATTCAATATTCACAAAATATAACAATATTATATTAATAATTTTTATACACTCTACAACTAAATATATTAGTATTAAATAGCAATTTAGTTCAAATCAATTGGCATGAATTTATGAAATTATATACTCATTCAAAGTTCAATCTTTAAACAAGTTTACTTTTGTATGAATTAATAAATTTGATAATTCATATATTATAAAAATGAAACAACATTAATCAAATATGAAAACTATACAATAAATAAAATATAACATAAACATGCACAAATTAATTGATCTTAGTGATAAAAAAATATTGTTATTATTTGAGGTCCCGAGTTTGAGCACCATGAATGTCAAGGGTGTGAGCATTTAATATCAAATAGTTGAGAGTTATCTTTAAACATATATTACCTTAAGTTATACTTACCCCCACATGAATAAAAAAAGTATAATGTATACATAACAACGTCAAAATTGGTTTGAGTTATATAAATAATAAATACATTTAAACACGTTGAGTGACTTCAATGATTAAAGAAAATGTTGTTCTCCCTTGAGGTCATGGATTCGAGCAACTATATCTATAGAATGTGTGAGCATTGTCAATGACTAAGAAAGATTATAGACAAGTATTACCTTGTAATCATCTCAGACTATTCAAAAAATAATAATACAATATGATAATTTACACATCAATAAATATTGATGTTATTATTTATTGTAATCAAATTTATTAGATGTTCAATTAATTTTTTTGAACAATTTTTATAAAGAAAGAAAAAAAATTGTTCATAACGAGTATTGATCTCATAACCTAGAGGAGAGAGAAAGTGTCAACTTAGGAATTTTAATCATTTACTCTATAGTTGTTAACATTTTTCTGTGTAAATTTTAATATAGATACATATTGATGAAATATATTTTTTTTAAAAGGGCAAGAGATGTGGATGTAAACAAAGTGTGTGACATAATCTAATCTACTTGTTCTTTGAAATATCCAACGAACAATTTCTTACCTCATAATCCAATTACTATTTTTTTTTCTTTTACTAAATAAATCTGTTCGAATTCGATGGGATCCACTTTTCAATTTGTTGCAGAAGGTTCAAAGTTGACTTAGATTTTTAGAAAACATATAATTAATATTTTATATGTAATTGAGTTTTAAGTATTATAAATATAATTGCAAAAATAATCAATCATCTTATTGTATAATCATATTGATAATAAAATATGACGTAAATTTGCACATAAATTCGACTTAAAAATCTCAAATACCTTCAAATTAAAGTGGTTATACCCTCCACCACTATTCTTCAAAAGTATTGTCTATGTCCACCATATATCCTTCAAAAACACCATCATTCGTCGTATATCCTTGGAAAATACTATTCATGCTCAAGCTTAGTCTTTCATATGCATACTTTCATCTGACACATCGTTGGGTTTACATTTACATTTACTTATCTTTAATCTACTTACTTCACAATTGAGATAGGAAAATGGCCATCATTTTTTATTCAAATCATTAACAAAATTAATATCTCATGAACGTCTCATGAACGTATTTTTATATTTTATACTTTTTATAGTCAAAGTGGGTGAATAATTTAATTTAATTGTATATATATATATATATATATATACACACGTATATGTGTGTGTGTAAACATTTGAATCTATTTGTTGATTGATATAAAAACTTCATGGTGGGTATTTAAAATTACATTCATATTAAAAAATCATCTAAACCAGAAAAATAAAACAAAAAGAAAGAATCTAATTCTGATTATAATGAGAAGATAAAATAAGTGCAAGTATATTATGTGGGAGACGGGAAATGAAGGGTAGGGGACCAAAGTTCCATTATAAAACACAGCACTGCTTCCTGGTGAAAAGGGCATCAAATTCTTTTTTTCTTTTCAAAACCAAAATCATTATAGTCTTGCGATGTATTGGAATGGTAATTTGCACACTGAAAAAGTACTACAGAACTTGTATATTTCAGCTGAGATATGGTACTAGTTTATATACACAAGCACAAGCCTCATATAAGCAGTTAACACTAACTGCATTGCTAACTAACTAACAGCTGACTCATTCAGCAAATGCCACGTGCATGACTTAGTTACAATCTGTTACAATCAGCTGCACACCCACTTACATTAGACTGCTAACATTTTCCCTACTTCTTGTTTCCTTTGTTCAAAGGAATACACACATACTTTGGATCTAAACTCCTCAAATGCAGCTCGCGCTAATGGTTTGGTGAATCCATCAGCAATTTGATGCATTGCAGGGACATAGCTAACTTGCAATTGACCAGCTGCCACCTTCTCCCGAACAAAGTGCACATCAAGGTCCACATGCTTGGACTGAGCGTGGTAAACTGGATTGGCACTCATAGCCACTGTGCTGGTTTTGTCACACCAGACAATCGGTTCTCGACCTTGTTGAATACCAAGATCAGTTAGAAGAGCATTCACCCAAGCTATGTCTGCAGCTGCATCAGCTACACTCTTATATTCGGCCTCCATTGTCGACCGAGAGACCGTCTTTTGTTTCTTTGAGCACCAAGTAACTAAGCATTTGCCCAAGAACACACCATACCCCGTTATGGATCTTCGATCATCAATACTAGCTCCCCAATCAGCATCGGCAAAGGCAACTATGTTCTGTCCACTTTCAACAGGTGAAAAAAATAGGCCAAAATTTAGAGTAGCACGTAGGTAGCGAAGTATTCTTTTAACAGCAACAAAGTGATCTTCACGTGGAGCGTGCATGTATTGTGCAACTTGTCCCACACTAAACGATATGTCTGGTCTCGTGTGACAGATATACAACAATGAGCCTACAATACTCCTGTAATCACTTGCATTGTTTAACAAGTCTCCTGTTGCATTGGAAAGTTTAGACGCAGCTACCATAGGTGTAGCACATTCTGCAGCTGCCATCATTCCTGTTTTTTCAAGCAACTCAAGGATATATTTCTTCTGACTCAACAGAATCGAGCCATTAATACGCTGAACCTCGATGCCCAGAAAAAAACTTAAGTCCCCCAAATCTTTAAGAGAGAAACGAGCTTGTAGTAGTGACACGGTCTCTTCAATTAGTGTAGACGATTGCCCTGTTATAACTATATCGTCTACGTACACTAGTACATACATGTATCCGTTGCTAGATTGTTTAACGAACAAGGAAGAATCTGCACGAGATACTGTAAACCCAAGTTGTAGCAAACTCTCTTTGAGTTTTATATGCCAATTACGAGGCGTCTGACGAAGACCATACAAAGCCTTTAGAAGCTTGCACACGAGAGGTTTGCCACTCTCGTCAGTTTGCTCAAATCCAGGAGGTTGCTGCATATAAACGTCTTCATTTAAATCTCCATGCAGGAATGCATTGTTTATATCAACGTGTCGAAGCTCCCAGCCTTTAGAAACAACAATTGATAGAACAGTGTTGAATGTAGAGAAACGAACTACTGGACTGAATGTGTCTCCAAAATCAAAATCGGGTGTTTGAGAAAACCCTTTAGTAACTAAACGGGCTTTATATCGAAGTACAGTCCCATCCGGATTTCTTTTGATTCGAAATATCCATTTGCATCCAACAGTGGTTCTTCCTTCTGGGAGATTTACTAAAGACCAAGTGCCATTCTTCTGTAAGGCATTGTATTCTTCATGTACAGCAGTAGACCAATGTGGTGATTTTAGTGCTACATTTATTGTAGTTGGAACATCCTCCTCTTCAGCAGTAAAGAATACTTTGGGTTTAAAAATTCCACACCTGCTACGTGTCATCATAGGATGAACACGCATTGAAGATCCC